TGTCACAGATGCGGAAAAGTGGTATTTTATGGAATGCTCACTCGATGATCAAGACAGGCTAAGATTCAAACTATCGGCGCCGGTGGTCGTTGTATATAAGGACGAGAATGTGGAAAACATGGTTAGGAAAATTCTCGGGCATATTGCATGGTTGTTGGAGGAGGTATAAAAGCCGGATTCAGATTCACGTGAAGAGAGGGTAATAAAGAAGCATGGGTCATCGAGTAATCTTGCAGAAAAGTCGGGTTAGATATTAGTGCCATAGAAACCTCGTCATATGTCCCGGGATACGTCCCGAACTTTGTATTTATTTTTGCATGTATTAATAAAATTTTTTTTCTGATTGTTTCCTGGGAAACGGTTTTTGCCAGGAAGTAGTGATTTTCTGATTTCGTATGATTAAGTAAATACAAATATTGTGAACGAATCATGTCGGAATTGCTGATCACGAGCTAGCTTCCCAATTCATTTTTGCGAGATAGATAGTTTATTAACTGTAATATATTGTCTAACACAAATATTGTTTTGCGTGTGAAAGCAACGAATTGGCTTTCTAGGGGATATACACAAAGAAATGAGCTAGCTATCAAATTCGTTCTCACTTTCTCCATAGCTTAAGTGCTATAAAATACGTTAATTTCACAAAATATATCCACAGGTTCGTCCTACAAAACACACGTAAATTTAATAACTCGTTAGTGCGAAATTACAAATTATATCACATCAAAACGCAAAAATATTCTCAAACAATTCAGATTTTTTCGTGCTCGTCATATTCATACTAGTTTAATTGCTAGTATTATACCTAAATACTTGAAGAGTGAAAAACTATATAACTGCAGAATTGTCTGCTATCAAAAGATCACGGCAAAACTCAAGCGCTAATACTAAATTGCTACAAAAAATCAGAAGTTCACAACATCAAAAATGGTATTGGCAGTCGCGACAGTAATTCCAGCTCTTGATGGTCTGGGTCTAATAGAACATCTTGCGGTGCTGCGTGAAATTGAAGTAGCGCATCCGGACTTAATCACACCAGATTCCCCGATCTAATAGGTGGGGGCCAAGACTACTTAGATTTATGAGCCAAAGCTGCTACAGACACAGGGAATCTATCACATGTACAAAAACTACTCGGCCACGCCAGCCAAGATATGTGGATAAGAAACTAATCATTAATATTTTTACCAAAAGCCCGCAAACTATTTATGGAGTAAGTGTTCGGAGAGGGGAAATATATTTCATCACAGCGTTGGTGTTCTCCAGCATCAAAATCAGCCAGTTCAGATCGTTTTCGATATCTTGCAGGCTCTGGCCCGCACTCGCAGTAAACATGTGCATTGAAAGACACCAGTGGCACAGATCCTTTAGGGTATTGGCCGAGTTATCGTCAAGATTATACCAGCTTGGAGATGCGACTATCCAGAAATTTCACAAATGTTTAATCCGTAATCCTGCAGATGAAACTATAGAATTTATTAGGCTATGGGTTGATAATGAACGAGAATTAGATACAGAGGTAGAAGAGGAGAAAAATAGTGATAGCGCTGGACCTAGCAGGATGAGAGAATAGGGTGTACTTCTTGTCCATCCATACTACAGTTGTACAATACATCTAAAAATATAGTCATGTCGATAAAACTCTTTTGCTTAGAAAAAGGAAAGACTCCTGTTGTCCAGCATGCTTTCGAAGTTCAGATTAGTAGAGATGAGTCTATTAGTGCGCTCAAGGACATAATAAAGACGAAGAATACCATTGACTTTGCTCACTTTGATGCCAAAAACCTAAGGTTATGGAGGGTAAACATCCCAGTTGATCACGACAACCTTATTCAGAGCCAAACTTTGCAAGACAACAACCAGTTACCAGTAACAGATGATATCGGAGACCACTGAACCGATACACCACTAAAAAAGCATATTCATATAATTGTTGAGATTCCTACAGATAATTAATTATCCTAGCTTTTCTTGCTTACTGCTCACGCCATACATTAAATTCTCTCACTGTCATTGTATTTTGGTATACTGTTTTCGACATTGACTAACTTGTGCTTTTCTTTCCTGCTTCTTATTGTCTAACACTCCCCCAAGAAAACATATTCACATTATCACAGAATACGTGAGTCATAATAAATTTAGTCAGCGCAAATGAACGCTATATGACTTAACTTTTTGATAACTATTATTCCATTCTCATTATTTTAATATCTTCTTTATCTTGCTTATAAAAACAGAGTTAGCACCGGCCCTGGAGAGACAATTCGAACAAATATATCATAAAATAGAAGGAATGGACCATAAAATAGAAGGCGTACATCATCAAGTAAAGAGAGTATGACTTCGCAGTGAAATCTGGCTTAGTATTTCAGGTATATTGCCAATTTAATCCGTACAATCCATCACTTTCCTGGAAACACCATTTGATATTTGTGATTAGCTACCAAAACAGAAACTGAGAAAGGACGTTATTGAAAGAATATTATGTGAAATAACGTGATTCTACTATTAATTTCCCATTTCAACTGACCGCGATGACCCCTGAAGAAGAGAACCTGGAAAGTTTAAAAGCCTACCTGATCCCCAGGTTCCAGAAGACATCTTACAAGAATATTTTATTAGCGAATGCAAAACATTCCAAGTATTTGAGAATTCATAACTTGAAGTTCAAGATTCGTATTCTATTCCCTTGCTGGCTACTCGAAAGCCCGACTTTGTATTCATTGCAAAAGGGGATCCTCTAAATGCATTACATATCGCCATTGGCGAAATAAGAAAACGGTCAGGAGTTGATTTTGCAAATGCCAATGTAGGACATGTAGTGTCATTTGGTGAAAAGGTACTCCAACTTCAGCCAAGGAGAGCCAATGTATACATGGTGTTGACAGATTGCAGAGTTATTTGTATCTACAAGGTGACTAGGCTCGATATTGATACCAGTGACAATATCTGATTCTCATATCAATCCATACCAATGCAGATGTTAACTTACGAAGCCAAGGGTACCCCTTCAAAGAGGGTGGAAATACCTTGTGACCATTACGGAATGCTCTAAGAAACAGCTTGGATGGATCGATCCATCTCTCTCCTTCGGTTTAGAAACTGTAAGACTAATTCAACCGATCAGTGCAGAAAGGACTAACATCGTATATTTAGGAAAGCATGATGAAAAGGAAACAGTGGTCGTGAAAATAGCAAAAAGTGAAGATTATTTGTCTTGTTTTAAAAGGGAAAAAAGCGCACTGGAAGCTTTTTTGAGTTTGAATTCACCTCATCTTCAGACCCTCCTCCTTATTGTGAGAAAGTAAATAATCTGCGAAAAGGGGATATCAGAAACATCATCAACACCCTCAAGGCCGTCCATTTAAAATACAAGCTTGTACACATGGATCTTCGAAAATACAACTTTCTTCGTAATGATAATGGAGACATCGTGATTATTGATTGGGGATATAGCGTAATGGGAGACCAAACTGGGAATTTTGCAGGTGCACTTGAATGCATGCCTGATGATGTCTTGACATCATTGGTCAACGGGGAACAACCATCTTACAGTACCTGTCAAAAGTATCCCCCCAATAATTTCCAAACAATCACATGCATGACACTATAATTTTGCATGCATGTAGTATAGCCCAAATATAGATCACATCTGCATTTTGGGGGATTATACATTAATAAAAAATGAAAGCTTCATTATACCTGAAAAAAGATCTAAAAAATATCTTTAAATTTAAGTCAATGATATGAAATCATCTTTTTGCATATCCATCCAAAAGATTCCAAGCTGTCAATACATGAGATAGCTAAAACAGTTCACTGTGATAAAAAAACAATTTGTTATTGGATCTAAAGGTGAGAAGAAAATCAAGACTTGAGCAACAAACCAAAGACAGGCTGATAAAGAGTAATTATTCAATAACAAGACAAGCAAATAGTGAAGCTTGCAAAAAAAATTGATATAATAGTTCCAGAAATTTAAAAGAAGATGATTAAGCAGAATGTTAACATAGGAATTTTAACCGAAACAAGATGATTTTTTTGAATGAAAGTATCTTTTATCTAAATTAAGATATAAAATGAGCTTGACAGTTTTTTGAAAGAAGAAAGATAAACTGTTTTGTGAATATTCTTTGAAAATTCATATATGAAGATGTTTTTTATTTGCAGACTTTGGCAAGTTAATTTGCTTTATGAGGAATCTTAATATTAATTTTTTACTAAATATATATGAGATGAATCTTCTATTATTTGTTAATGAATTTTTTGATCAGAAAAATAATTAGTAAATTCTTCAAGAAGATATTATTTCAAGCATTATTTAAAAATTATAAAGATATAGAAAAAGAAAATATATATAAAAGTTTTTTCATAATTATCAATATCTTTTGATTAAAATCTGATTAAAAATATCTGAAGACTCATGAAAAATAATCTGACAAAAAAAATTAGAATTATTAAGTGTTATTTATCTAAAAAATATGTTATTTGATTAGTCTCAAGTATAAGAAAGTATGTAAAAGTTTTAATTAAGACTAAGAATAATTATATCATATACTAATCTTGTTATATAAAATTAGAACTTTTAAATAATAAAAATATTTTTCTTTGATAGAACTTCTAATTTCAGATTACAGATGCAAAATATATTAAGCTTTTAAAAGTTTAATATAAAATCAAAATTGTGAAATAAAATTTTTAAAAAGCAGAAAACTTGAATTATGATAATTTAATCAAAGAACTTAAAAATTTTTTTTAGATCATGATAAATATAATAAATTAAATTTAGATAAAGTTATTATATATTATAGTATTTTACTGCAAAAGTATTTGTAATTTGCTAAATTGAATATTTCTTGAATTTCAAAAAATATAAGATATATTTTTTTTATATAAGATAAAAAATAATTCTTGTAATGCTTTTATCAGTATTATATAGATAATAGTTTTGTAATAATAAGATATCAAAAATAATAGATTTTAATTATTTTGTAACTATATTTATTATTATTAGATTATCTAATTCATATTATAAGTAATTTGTATATTATCTATTATTATAATTTTTAATAATTACTTATATTAATATTATCTACTATAATTTATATATAAAAAATAATTATTATAATAATATGATAAATATATATAGCTAGATATATATTATAAATAAATTAATATAATATTATTTTTATCACAAATTTAAATAAATTTATAAATATATAAAATATATAATATCAAATATATCTTCTGAACTAGATTTATTTAAATAAGAGAATACTAAGCTTATAATCAAGAATATTAAGCTTAAATATAAAAACTTAAAACTAAAACAGATTATAGAAAAAAATACTGAGTTTAAAATCAAAATCATAAAATTAGAATGAATTATTGATAAAATTAAAAAGCAAAATTAAATCATATTACAGATTTTAGCCAGTTCATTATTATTAGTAATATCTTAGTTATCTATTCTATTATCTATTAAGAATTATTCTAATAAAAAGAAAGATAATACTTCTAATTACTTATCTGAACTAGAATATATTTTGACAGATCTGAATTTAAAATATCTGTAATTACTTTATCACAAGATATTATAATAATTCAGCTAAGACTTTAGATTTTGTAAAAATAATTTATAAGAAATAGATTAGTAAATCATATAATATAAAAATCATTTTTCTAAAAAATAATTAGCAAAAAATAATTATAAATATTGCTTTACTAATGAAGAATCTTGATAATTTTAATAAAATTGAGCTTACTAAAAATCAAAATATAGAACTAGATTTAATATGAGATTTATAAAATAATATGCTTATTATTATATCTGATTTATAAAAATATTTTTCAAAGATATTATGAATAATAAAAAATCATTATCTAAAATTAAAATACAAAGCTTAATTAATTTATTTAGAAAAGCTATATAATTTGAATATAAAGAAATTTTATTTTGAATTTACTATTCAGATAATTTTGAAAATAAAGTTATCAAAATTTAATATAAAATAGAAGTTAATAATAAAATTGCAAGAATTCAAATATACAAAGAGAAGTTAAAAATATTTACAAGATATTTAGTTATCTTATGAATTAAAATCTTTAGGATTAAAAAAATTTATAAACTATTTAAAGAAAATGAAGTTAAAATTAATAAATTAAATATATTACTTGCAATACAAATAATATTTCAAAATTAATCAATATATAAATTCAAAATATTTATAAATCAAATAATTTTAAAAATTATTTTTTTGAAAAATAATTAAAATTATGTGATCTTAACTAAAGATATTATTTTAATTAATTATGACTTGTGATAGTTAATCAGAAAATTATAATTAATTATAATAACTAATCAGAGAATTATAACTAAAGTTACAATTCTATCTTTAATCTTAATTAAGAATTTCAAATCTTTATTCAATATTCAAATAAGTATCTTAAATATTAAAATATTATCTAATAATATAATTCATATCTCTAATTTTTTAGATTTAGATAATTTACTAAAGATTAAGATATATATATTATTTATATTTTAATTTAAAAAATTTTATTTAAAAAATAGAATAATCTGATTCATAATTATATTTATTTTTATAATATAATAATATAAAGATATTTTAATTTATATAAAGAATATAGTAATAAAAAATTTGATTATTATAGAATTTATTATATTTAGTATGTAAATAAAATTATAAGAAAGAAAAAAATATAAAAGATTTGAAGCTTATTTTATTAAATATAAGAGATATTATTATTATAGTAGCATAAAGATTCTTAATTTCTTAATCTTTTCATGATTATACAAAATCATATTTTCTTATAATTTTTATTTATTTCATAATTATTCCTATTTTTACATTATATAATTATTTCTTATTACTATATTTATTATTACACTTCTATATTTAGATATTATATTTTATTTATATTTAAGATCTACATTTTTATATTACTTATAATATGATACTTATCATTTTTAAATTTAATGGAATGATTATATGTTAGTTACAGATGACTTTTCATAACTTCTGATAACTTTTCATGACTTCTCATAACTTCTAATAATTTTTCATGACTTCTCATGACTTCTGATAATTTTTCATATCTTTTCACATACTTTAATAACTTTTTACATTTTTTAATAACTTTTGATATCTTTTAACATATATATTTCTAAAATTTATACTATAGTACTTTAAATTATAACATGTATATTAGATAGTATTATCATAGTAACATAAAATTTCTTAATTCCTTAATCTTTTCCTAGTTATGTAAAATCATATATTTTTATATTTTTTATTTATTTTATAAATATCTCTATTTCTATATTATATATTACTATATTTATTATCACATTTCTATTTTTAAATATTATATCTTATTTAAGATTCAGGATCTATATTTTTATTATCTTATAATATGATATTTATATACATAGTAAAATAATATAGTGAAAGATTATTTTTTAATTTTGATGAAATAGTTATACTTGAATGATAATTTCAAATATCTTTTCTTATTTTTTAATATTCTTTAATATTTTTTCACATTCTTTCACATCTTTTGATATTCTCTTACATTCTTTCATATCTTTTGATAATCTCTCATATCTTTTTATGTCTTCTCATATCTTTTTATATTTTTTTATATCTTTCTACATCTTTTAACGTTCTTTTACATATTTTGATATTCTTTAATATTCTTTGATATCTTTCAATATACTTTAACATAATCCATTCATAATTATTTATACTATAGTATTTTAATTATATCTTGTATATTAGATAGTATTAACTAAAGATGACTCTTTAATTGTTGCAACATGATAATAAATAAAGCATCATCTAGTTATAACTAGTTGCAACTTATAAAATTTTGAAGTTGCAATATGTTTCAACAGGTGATAAATAAGTATTATATACTTACTGTATCATTTTTAGTATTAACTAGTAATGCTATAATAATTTTTATATCTGAAAAATATATAAAAAGGCCTGTTATTCCAGCTTGAAATAAACAGTTTTGAATTAAATTATTTGGAAAATATAATTTAAAAACTTATTATTATAATAATAATAATCTTTTTACAAGATTCCTTTTCAAATTATATCAGTATTCTTTCTTTCATCCAGTTTTATTCCTTTGATCATACAAAGTTGATTTTGGATTTTTGAATTATAATATTATATTGATTTTTGATTTTTGATATTATTTTAAGAGTAGAAGATCTCTATTATAAATAAGCTATACTTTTTATTTTATTATTTTTGAGAATAGAAAATCTTCACTATAAATAAGCCATACCCTTTTTATTTGTTTAGTTATTTAATTTTCATATTTAATTTCTATCTTTACTTTAGTTATAGTCTTCTTTGATTAATAGCTTGCTATTTAATCAATTCAAATCTTGAATTATAT